TTTGCGATTAATTACCTAGTAATTACCACCAAATTTGCGATTAAAGTACCTAGTAATTACCACCAGATTTGCAATTAATTACCTAGTAATTACCACCAGATTTGCGATTAATTACCTAGTAATTACCACCAGATTTGCGATCAATTACCTAGTAATTACCACCAGATTTAACTAAGAAAAATTAACACAGCACCTAGGAGTTGTTGTGATCACCAAGGTCCCAAGTTCGAGGGACCACTACGGGCCTCGCCACCCTCCTCCCGATATTTGATCTATCTGTCAGATCAATAGATCAAATTCGGGAGCTGTCAGAATTTCCCTCCCGAGAGCACCCCTCCCAAAACCATATAGCCTGCAAAGGGCCAAACCATAGCCTGCAAGGGAGAGCTGAGCTCTTTCGGACCTCCCCGAGTTTCGTCCCAGCTTCCCACCCGAGAGGAGCTCAAAGGGACAAACAACAAACAGACTTTGGTCAGCAGACTGCTTCTGCTTCACACTGCACGCGTCCGGATATGGCAAGTGCCCTTTTCAGACGTGGAGCTCAAAGGGACAAACAACAAACAGACTTTGGTCAGCAGACTGCTTCACACTGACACGTGTCCGAATGTGGCAACTGCCATTTTCCAGACGTGGAGAACGGCTCGTTCTCGAGAGTGCAGTGAGGCGAACGGCACTCTTCGAACGGGATGATTTCACATTTGGGAGCACTCCCGAACGTTTCTTTCTTTGGAGAACTCGGGGGGGAGTGGGGTGTGACGAGGCCCTAGACTAGCTCAAGCCTTTCTTTCTTTCTTATTTTTGGACCATGTCTCGATTCATGCGTGTCATCCTTGCGCAGGGGCCATGGTAAAATCTTCATTCTCTGGATCGTTCCACATTTTATTTTTAATTTAATGAATGTCCCACCAAAGGACAGCCCAACCTCATTTTAGGTTCTCCCGAAGGGCATTTTCTCGAAGGACAAATCAGACAAAACAACCTGCCACATGGGGAAGGGGGGGGGGGGGGGGGGGGGGAGAGAGAGAGAGAAAAAAAAAAAGAGAGAGAGAGAGAGAGGGGGGAGAACAGTGCGAAAGAAAAAAAAACAATCTGATCAGAGTCTCAAAGGCACGACCGGCTAACAAATACGTAGTCCGAATCTAATGGCTCAGGCGAACCCGGCCTCTCAGACCACCCATTTCTGACTGGCTTCTTTTTCCCTCGAATACAACGCCTGCATACAGTGCATATAGACCGGTTTCAGTCTATATGCAGCGATAATGACCCCGTACGTAGTTCTTCAGCAACTCCCCCCCTCCTGCATTTCCATGCTGTGCCCTCCTGACAGACTGTATTGTCGAATTCAATTACAGTATTATATTAAAAAAAACAGAGTGCCGACTATGAGCTCTAAAGGGCTTTTTGCTCTGCGCCAAAAACAACTCCAAAGAACACAAAAAGAATGAGTGCCATAAAAAAAAAAAACAGTATTAAAAAAAAAACAGAGTGCCCACATTTACGTTGAAATAGCCTGACTCATCGTCCCAACATCCCACAGTTCCCACTGGACAGCTGCACGAATGAATGCCATATAATGGCCGGGTCTGTGCAAAATGCAGGCAGAGAAATATGAGGATGGTCATTAAGGTCATCCATCGCCTGGCTTCGCATGATGCATAAGAAGATGGTGGCGACCGTGGAATGCTAACTGTAAGACATTTACAGTAAAGCCTCCTGAGGTAGTGTGGTTACTCCTTACCGTCAGGAGGTGGACTATTATGGTCATACAACAACTGATTTTCAACAGCGTCAAGCTGATAAGCAATCGTGACAAAATGGGAAACAGTATAAGATTGACGCTGATAAGCCATTTAGGTAGGCAGACATTTGTGGCTGTCAAACCACAAATATTTGGTAGGTCTGCCCGCAGATCCAAATCGGTCACCACTGGAAAGCCAGATCTGATCAGAGGAAGAAGAAAAAGAAGAAGAGGAAGAGGAAGGGGAAGAAGAAGAAGAAGAAGAAGGAGGAGGAGGAGATGACAAAGAAGAAGAGGATGCAGGCAAAGAGGGAGAAGGAGAGGGAGGGGGAGAGGGAGAGGAAGGCAAAGGGGAAGCGGAAGGGTAAGGAGGGGGAGAAGAAGGGACAAGGAGGGGGAGAGGGAGGGGGAGGGGGAGGGGAAGGAGGATGAGAAGATGGAAAAGAGGAAGGGGGAGGAGGGAGAAGGAGAAGGGAAGGAGGGGGGGGGAGTCATTCCCTTCTCCCTCCTCCCCCCTTCCTTCCCCTTCCTCTTTTCCATCTTCTCATCCGCCTTCCCCTCCCCCTCCCCCTCCTTGTCCTCCCCCTCTCCCTCCTTGTCCCCCCTCCTCTCCACTTCCCGCTTCTTCTCCCCCTTCTTCCCCTTCCGCTTCCCCTCTGCCTTCCTCTCCCTCTCCACCTCCCTCTCCTTCTCCTCCCTCTTTGCCTGCATCCTCTTCTTCTTTGTCATCTTCTTCTTCTTCTTCTTCTTCTTCTTCTTCTTCTTCCTCCTCCCCTTCCTCTTCCTCTTCTTCTTCTTCTTCTTCTTCTTCTTCTTCCTCTTCTTCCTCTTCCCCACGCCGGCTGAGACCGGCCCCTCCCTTGTCTTCGTTGTCCATATTGGGACGTCGGCAGGCTCGTTCATTCTCTCCTATTATTATATATCAACTCCGACGAAACAGTTTGTCACAGCCCCTCGTTTGTTGTCCTCTTCTCCCTCCCTCTCTGCCGCCTACGGTTTACCGGGCAGCTCTGTTTGACGATACATATGCACCTAACACTCATAAAACTCGCAATTACCCTGACAGCGAGGAATGGCATCCCTAAAAGTACCAAGTATCGGGGCATATACTCACACTCCTTTGTAAACTGACCTCTGGACGTAACTGCCATCAAAAATACGTCCAGTTCCATCCGTAATTACGGGCAGGTACATCTAGAAAATCCATCAGAGTATGCTCTCAGTCAGTCACCGTAGGGACGCGAAGGCTCAAGGTCGACATACAGCAGCGGACAGTCAGGAGGGAAACGGTTCGACGACCGAGCAAACCTATCGGCACCTCAAAACGAAAATTGACGAGTAACAAATGCATCCCTCTCGACACTATCATCATCATTAATGGCATCATCATCATCATTAATGGCATCATCGTCATTGGCATCATCATCATCATTGCTGGCATCAAATTTTCGACTACAAAGCAAAGCTCATAAAGCCGTTCAGCAAATAGCGCCGTGTGCCAAATCACGCTCCACATCATCCCACTTCAACTTCCTAACAGCGCAGCTATCAAATAGATATCGGATCCCCCGGCGAAAGGGTGAAAAAAGGAAGAAGGGGGGAATGGATGGGTCAATAGATGGGTAAATGGATGGATTATGGGTGGGTTATGGATGGGTTATGGATGAGTTAATGGATGATCAATGTCAATCGATAAGAGAGTGGATGGCTCAATGTGAATGGCCAAGTGAATTGATGGGTAAACGGATGAGGTGAAAGGGCCAATGGGTGAAAGGGCAAATGGGTGAAAGGGCCCATGGGTGAACGGGTGAAGGGGTGAAGGGGTGAATGGGTGAATTAATGGGTAAAAATGGGTAAATAAGTGAATAGGTAAATGGGTCAATTTGTCAATGGGTACGTGAGGGGCCAACCAATTGGACAGAGATACCAATGGGACGTGTAATACTAATTGCCCAATCATGACCGCTCCTCAGGCAATCTGTCACTGTAGACCCGGGCAGAAGCTCCATTTGCACAGACAGCCCACAACTGGCCAGTGGGCGGTCGGCGAACAAGCGTCTATCTATTGGCAAATCGCCGTAGCAACCAGGAGGGGTTTGACACCCGTACGGCTTGCGGCGTCTACGATGACGCCTGATTCGATTCGCGCCATCCCAGATCCGTAAGGACGGGTGGGAAAATGGCGGGAAAAGATAGGATGCGCGCCATCCCAGATCCGCAAGGACGGGCGGGAAAATGGCGGGAAAAGATAGGA